CTCTTGCATCGCGGTCTGGCAACCTAACCACTACACTAAGATCGCCAGACCTGAGGGCAGATATATTATAATATATCTATTTGATCATATAATATAAAAATCAAAACAAACCTTTTTTACATTAGTTTAGAGTTAGGGTCAGGGCTATATTAGATTAGGAAAAGGTAATAGTAAAATACTTTTAACTCAAAATTTTGCAAAGAATTTTTTTTATTAGAATATAAAAGGAGGTTTTATAAATAAAAAATTGAATTATAGATAATTTTTTTTAAAAAATTACTATTGTTTTGATTTTTATATTATATCTAATCTTGAATTCTGATTGGTCAATTAGAGGGTATATTACAACACATCTGCATTAAATTATATAATCCTAAAATTTATATACAATTTATTATGTTTATAGCAGATATGCTATATATCTTATATATAATATTTAATCTATATATTGTATAAATATAATATATATGATAAATTACTTAAAAGCAATATATGCAATATATAGCAGATATATAATATATGATATATATGTAATTTATATAATATATGCAATTTATAAAATGATCAATCTCATAAACTATAGTCATGTTATATTGAGTTATATTGTGTATCATTCTGAATCTAGCTTAATCATTTTTTAGATCTCATATTAGAAATTAAGCTATCTTATTACTTAGAGTTTCTACTATATAGATCTTCTACTTACAAATTCTATTATAATTTTTTTATATAATATTATAATATATTTTTTATATTTAAATTAATTAGATACAACTCAATTTACAGAATTACAATTCTAGAAATAAACAGAATTCTATAATATGCAAATCTAATTTTCAAATTTATTAACTGTTAACAATAAAATTTAAAGCTCAAACCTACTATATAGCAGTCTGATAATCAGATCTTTTATTTTTTTATTAGAATTTCTATTTGAATTAGTTTGATAAAAATAAATATTATTACTTTTATACTTGGTTATAAATTAATAAATATATTATTAATTACTGAATTCATATAATTATTGTGAACTGTATATATTAGTAGACAAAGATTACAGATATACCTGCTGTTCAAACTTATAGGATTTGGCCATGAACAAACCTGAATAAATAGGATTGTTTAACTATACCTAATCTCAAACACCAGCAAAATCCCAAATTCATCCTAAATTCCAAATTCTATCCTAAATTCCGGCTATTCAAGTAATAATTATCTAATCAATTTATGTAAGCAAAAATCAGTTAAGCAATAATATATACTATATATGGATATACTATCTCTTACTTATACAATATTACAAAAATTTTAAATACTACGATTTTTTTTTTAGTTATAAACCATTAAAATCAGCAAATCATTTGTTTATATTACTTAATATGTTCCAAATTATTTTATTCGCATTAATAATACGAGCGGAAATTTCTAATTCTGTGATTTAGTGATGGGCGGATGCGTGGGATAGAGATTATCTTGTGGGTTTCTTAAATTATGTAAAGCGGACCGGCTGGCCCGAATTGGGATCATATTAAAAATCCCGCGCAGAATCCAAAAAATCACGCACATTTTGAGAGATTAAATTGAATCTAAGCCATATAATATATAAAATACGGTGATTACTGAGATTAAAGCGATGATTTGATCAGTGATCGTAAAATTGCTTATCGTTTGAGTTGCTTATGAGTTTTTATATCCCATTTATGAGTAGTGATCCAAACAGATTAGCAAGAATAACCAAAAACTAACCTGAAAAAAATTTTAATTAGTGCGCAGAAGATAGTTTCATGGACTAAATTTTGAGTTATGCGCGATTTTTATGCTGCTTTTGATTTTTTTTTTTTTTTTTACGTTTCTTTTTACGTTAAAACTGATCTTGAAATTTGATTGATAAGTAAATTTTTTTAGGAGGAGATTTTACCCCGGTTGCATTTACCCATCACTGGGTGTTACTGTTCTGTGTCATTTCTTAAAGGTCATCAATTATTCTTTTTAAACCATTATATAAATAAGCATTTATCATTTAATAATGTAATTAATAATAAAAACTGGGTGACGAAGTCAATCACATTCGCAATTTAATCATATACCACGACACAAAATCAGCTTAAAAGAAGATATATAACGCTTTTGGATGAAATGGTATTTATTATTATTATTACCATCTTTTTTCAATATTCTCAAATTGATTGATTAATTTTTTTAATGTAATTGGAGTATAAAGGAATGAAGTTGCTCCTTTAACTTTTTCGATTAATTTTTTTGCCAAATCATATCCTTCATTATTCGGAAATACTATAAATATTATTAATAAATTCTTTCTATTAATTTCTAATCTTCTTAACTCTAATGATGCCTTCAAGACCTCTTCATAATTATTTTTATAAAGGCTAATAAATACTATATCATAAGCAAGTCGATTATGCAATTCTTCATATCTTTTTGCTACTCTAATAATACCTTCATGAAAGGTATCGAATGCATCAACTTTTTTGATCCTTTTAAGATATTTCTGCATTGCATTTCTCACATCTTCAACTGGGTGAATTATCAGTATTCTCTTTTGTCTTATAGAATTGCTTATTAAATCATCATATTGAGAGTTACTTATTGATAATATCTCAACATTCCAAGTAAACCAAAATTTATTTCCTTTTTCCCATTTGCTTTCTACATTAATTTCTCCTTCGTTAAGTTCTACAAGACTTTTACAAATCGAGAGGCCAAGTCCTGTATCATCTTGTTTTTTAATTTCTGACATGTCACCTTGCGAAAAACTTTTCCTTATATATTCCGGATCAATACTATCATTTAATGGATTATAGATTATATATTTGAAATTTACAATAAAATATGAACATAAATAGCTTACCTCGTGCCAGTATCATATAATTCAATCAATAGATTTTCTTTTTTAACGATCTGACCTCCTATTATTTCATCATTAACTTGTGATTGCATGGAAATTGTTAATATAATTTTACCATGATTGGTAAATTTAACTCTAAAAAAAATAAATATGAATTATTTTATTATTTTCAATAGCAGATAAGAAAATTCAATAAATAAATGAAATAATAATTACGAATTAGATAATAAACTCGATAAAACTTGTTTAAGTCTACATTATAAGAGATAATATAAGTAATAAAACTTTGTATTCTTTAAAATATATTAATAGTTAATTCAATTACCTTTCAGGATCACTCTTGACATATCTCGGCAATGTATCTATTTCACAATTCATAATTAGCTCAATATTTTTATCTCCTGCCTGTTTTTCAAATTCTTCAATAGTATTTTCAAATAATTCTAATAAATCAAATGTTCTATTTATTAAAATGACTTTTTGTGCTTCTAATTTTACTGTATTAACAATTTCGTTTACAATGGATATCACTATATCAGATGTGCATGCCATGATATCAATCATGTCGCTTTGATCAGCTGTAACGGTAGACCTATCAAAGGAAGAAAGAATACCTATCATTGCATTTAATGGAGTTCGTAATTCTATGGTAAAAATAAGATTAATTAGCAAAAATAAAAAAATTTAGTAGTGTACGCAGAGAACAATAATATACCATGAGAAGTATTGGCTAATATTTGATTTATAGTAACTTTTGCAACTTCAGCAGCTTTTATTTGAATTTCTTTTTCTGCATTATCTTCTAATAATGTTGTGTAGGTAATAGCTAAACTTATTTGATCCGATATTTGTTGGAATAATTCTATTTCAGGATCAAGCCAAATAGAATTCGGAGACCGATGCACTTTTATACATCCCCAAAAGCCATTATTCAACTCTATTTTTGCTGATAATACTGATACATTTTTACGAGCAACATCACAATATTCATCCAAGGAAATATCTATTCCCGAATTATTATTTAAATATTCTTGTAATTTAGAGAATTTTTGAGTTTTCTTTCTATTATTAATTTCCATGAACGGGTTAACCATCTGTGTTATACCTTCCGAGTTTTCATAAAAAGCAACTATATTATTATTAGATTTAGATTGCTCTTTCGAAATAATAAATATTCTTTCACATGGTAATCTTTGATAGATTTCTTTAATGACGTATAGTAACTTTTTATTTAGATCTGATTCGAAAAGATTCATATTAGATATTAAAAGTAATAATTGTGCTGTTTTTTCTTGTTCAAATCTTTGAAATAATATTTCACGACGAATAAGTGAAAGCTTAATATTAGATCGAATACGAGTAATTAATTCTCGAGCAGAAAATGGTTTTACTAAATAGTCATCTGCTCCCTTACCCAGCCCTAAAAAAGTAAAATACATCGCTGATAAGAAAATAAAAGGCACTATTAATAATCAAGTCGTTTAAATAAATTACCTGTGACTTTAGAATTTTCACTAGCTTTTGCAGATAATAATATTATGGGAATTAGTTGAGTTGTTTCATTAGATCTTAATACATCTAATAACTCATATCCATTCATATTTGGCATCATGACATCTGTTAAATTCAAATATTTAATAGTCAATGTAAAGTGATCGAAAAATATTGTGATTATTTAATTACTTGCCACTAAGGATTAAATCAGGTAATTTGTTAAGCTGTTTTAAGACTCGTAAAGCATCTTTGCCGTCACGAGCACGATGCACGATAAATTCTTTTAAAAGATCCGCAAGATGATCTCTATAAAAATATTAATGACTAATGGTAAAAAAACAATTTTAAATATATAATTAAATTCCAATTTGATCGAATAAAATATTACCGCATATCATTATTGTCATCAACAACTAAGACTTGATATTTTTCATTAGTAATAAGATCAATATCCATTAACATTTTTTTATTAGTATCATTATCAGTGTTTTTGTCATCGAGTGATACTTTAGACATCATAATATCTAGAGTTTCAGACGGACTATTGTTTATCCATTGAGAACTTTCTTCTAAATAAAGCTGTCGATTAGTGTATAATTCCTGATCACGATTTATTGGATTTTCAACTTTATTAAAGTATATTTGATTTGGTGGCAAATTTTCATATCTTATTGGAAACCAGCATTTAAATGTCGTTCCGTGATTTACTTTAGAAGATACGGTAATATCACCACCTTGGCGTGTAATAAGTTCTTTAACAAGTGCAAGCCCGATTCCTGTACCTTCATGACTACGTGAACCTTGAGATTCTACACGATAAAAACGTTGAAATATATGTGGAAGGGAAGTTTCTGGAATACCAACACCTAATTGAAGTATTAAAAAAAAAATTAATCTGCAAGTAGTAACAAGTTTATAAATTCCAAGTTAAATTTATTGAAGAATTTTATTAACCTGTATCTGAAACCTCAAGAACTACCATCTTTTTATTGTCTTTGTGATCAAAATATAAGCGAATCGTTATGCTTCCATTCCAAGTATATTTTAATGCATTCGAACCTTTAAAACCAAAATCTCTTAATATATATATAATGAATGTGACTTTGTAAAAAAAAAAATATATATATCTTAACACATTTTTAGAAATGCTTACAAAGATTAAATATAATTGTTTCGTATATATCATGATCCAAGTAAATCTTATCACCCATTATTTGGTTAAATTCCTCTGGATGTGGAATTTCAATATTAAAATCCAAACCTAATTTTTTAGCTATAATTTTAAAGTCCAAAGCTAATTCTTGAGTAAATTCAACTATGTTCATTTCACGATAATGTGCTTCAAATTTATCAGCTTCCATATTTGAAAACTGTATAATAAAGTGAATTCTTTAATATAATAATTTTAGAAATTATTATTGGGATTAATTGCAATATGGTATAACTTACTTGTAATAAAGAATTAATAAGTTTAAGCAATCTATGAGCGTTGCGTCGAATAGTTTGAAGATATGGCATTATTGACGCATCTTGTGTATATACATTAATTACATCGTCAAGTGGCGAAAGCATTAAGGTTAATGGTGCTATTATGTATGGTATTAAAAAACAAAAAAATTAATTATGTTTATACAATATATTTTCTAAAAGAGCATTTATTATTATGTGTAAATAAATACTTTTTAGCTCGTGACTGATGCCTTGAAAAAACACGACTTTTTGATAATTTAAATCAGCCAACACTTTAGATCGTTTTTTTTCCTCATCTATTTTAACCCCATGTAGTAAATATGTATTGACATTTTCTGTGACTGACTAAAATATTATAACATAATTAAGTAATTTTTTTTTTTTAATAAATATGACGAAATTAATGAATATTGATGATTGAAGACTTTTTGCGTACGTGCAAAAATTCTATATATTGTTCATCAAGTGCGCGAAATCGATTAATACCATAGATTAATATAACCGACAAAGCTTGCCCTTCGGAGAGAGAAATTTTTGTTGATATGAGAAAAGCTTGGGATTCATCTTTTAAAAGAACTTTTACATGTTTTCCTTCCTTTATTACAAGGTTAATTGGCCAAGTATCACATTTCAAGAAAGAATAAGTTGTATCTGCTCGTTTTATTTCTACGTATGTGTCGTAATCCTTATTAGCCTCTTTAGCTAAGTAAATTATTTCGGGAGAATCTGGTAAATAATCAAAATTTTGGCCTTCTTTTTTACCATCTTCATCAAAGGTTCTAGCGATCAGACGGGCGATCAGAGGTTCAGCAGTATTTGATTTATGATTGACAAAGTAAATTAAAGCATAAGGAATATCAACACTATTACTTAATATTTTTGTAACAATACGACAAGCACTTTCTAAGGACTTAATTTCTTCAAGAAATATTATAAAAATTAATAAATAAAATTCACAAATTATAAAAATTTCACGATTATTACTAACCAGAAATCCGACAACCAAATTCACTAAGTGTTTTTAACCTTCGGATACTTAAAAACTTTTGAGTAGTTTCTTGTAACACACACATTATAACGCAAACCGTGCCATCTGATTTGAAAATTGGACTAAATGTATATTTCGCGTAGGCTGCTTCTTTATATCCATCGCGTTGTAATTCATATTCATCAATATAACTTTGGCCTTTACCCGTTATTTTTATACTGCATATATTGTAATTCAAGAGAGATTAAGAGATTATAAATAAATTTTTTTTTTACAATAATTACACAACTTACTTTTCTAATCGAGCAAAAAAGAGATCATATAATTCAGGCCAAGCTTGGTCAAGTTGTTTTCCGAATGCTATTTAGTAATGATAAAGAATTTAAGTCGGAGTTTTATTATAAACGTATATCTATAATGTGGTGTAACTAACCGAATGGGTGTCTCACTTTTAATCTTGGTATCCAAGCTACAAAGTGAATAGGATTAGAGATTTAATTAAATAGATTAAGTAAGTTTTAAAATCTTTACCTTCATTATATATTTCTGTCCAATGAGGGGAATCGATAAAGAGACAGGTTGGAAACCCAGAATTGAGGCACAAATTCTAACATTCATAAATATAATTTTTTTATGATGTTATTAGTTCACACACTCATAAATATAATTTTTTACGACGTTATAGTTCACTTTTTTTTAAAAAAAAAAGAAAAAAAAAAAAACAAATTGTAAATTACCACAACATTTTTAATTACAGGATCCCATGAATCCATAGGGCCAAGCAAAGTAGATGACCAATCATAATTATAGACCATGTCTTTAAAGGATGGCTCATCATTCTTGATGCTGTGGGTCGAGGATAACGACATAATATTTTGAAAATGAATAAAGCTGACATACATAATCATTAATAAATACCAAATTAAGTAAAGATTTGCATATTAGTTTTTCTTTACTTACAGAGCTAATATTTGGAAAATAGTTACGTATAAAAAGTTTCTTTATGTATATAGTACGTAAATAAAAGAGTAATGTAGACCTAAATATTGGTCTTTCCCAGTATATTCATTCGTTATATAAATACAGTATATCGATTATTTCTTTTTTTCAATACCACAAAAAAAAGTTATTAATTACTAATATAATAATTAATTTTGAAACAAGTTATTTAGATATTTGTGTAAGTAATTATTATCATTTGAAATTTTATTTAATTCTTGTTTTAAAAAGTGCTTTGCCTCTAACGCTAAAGGTGCATATTTATTTGACTATGTATTAAAACTGGTTTGATGTACCTTTTATAGTCGTAACTAGTGATGAGACCCAAACGTCCCAAAACGAGTCTATGTACTAATTTCCCCAACTTTTAATTGGCTGTACTAATTATTCACTTATCGGAGCCAATCAACGATCAGGTGTAACGTAAAAAAATGTAAAATTTTTCTTTTAATTTTTACTTGAAAATTTAATACTCCGATAATTGAATGCGAAATCCATGTTCACTTTTGGCATTGATATACTCATTGATAACGATTATCGTTACCACATGCTAGGGACGGTCATTTAGTGCTTGGATCCGGATGTCTAACCGGATATCCGGATAGCAGGGTTGTCAATGGATATACTTTATTGAAAAATTGCTAGCCAATGGAGCCAATGGAACTAATGGAGCTGTTAGCTATTAATTATTAACAAATACTATATTATAAGCTAGTTGGTCTCCATTGGCTTCATTCGCAAATTGTTTCGGCCCTTGTCGAAACTATTTACGGCTTATTTTGAAACTAATTTCGAATAACGATAAACCCGAAATAGTTTCGGTCACATGTATACTTAGTGTACCTGCACGGCAAATCTGGTCATCTCAGATGTACTACGTATCCTCCGATGTAATATCATGTGTACGATTCCTCAGATTTTTGTTATTCTTTTTTTCCTTTATTATTCTTATTATTCTTAAATCTAAAAGATAGTGCTTATCTTTTATATCCTTCGTATCTTCTTATATGTAAAAATTATCTATATAAGCAACGCAAGTTGCTCCGAATAAAATTAACTTTTTTAAGTTCAAAAATTACAAGTTCATAACTTACTGAATTCGAATATAACTTAAACAAGTTCAATGTCTAAAATCCAATATTTCGAAATTCGATTAGAAGTATTGAATACTAAATATCCGTATTAATCATAAACCAAACCCTGTGAAAATCCAGTTTCGTTATAAACTTATTTACCCTTATAAGTCAAACGATCTTCCAGTTTACTGATAAACTGTTGGAATAGAGATTGTCTCTTGACTTATTAGAAATCAGGACTCAGATCACGTGCCACATAACTTAGAATCCACGTTGAGAAAGATTAGGATTAAGAAAGAGAAAAAGAAGATTTAAGAAAGGGAAAAAATAATCGTACGCTTATATTAGAAATCAAGATAATCCAATAATCGGCTTAAAACTCTAGCCAAATCTTCTACGCTCTCTTTCGACGCCTTCTACTTAGAGTTTATTGTTGGATTCAAGTTGTTTAGACCTGAGCGATTAATTTACAATTGAGAGAAAATTTCTTTGAGCTTGCGTGTGACATAGCCTCCAGTCAAATTCGAGCCAGAACCAGTCCCGGCTTCTACAACGGACAGTTCCGTGTAACATAATTCAATTATGGACAGTACACTTTTAAACTTTGAAAAAAAAAATATCTCGACAACGAAGAGATTAAATTTATAAAATTTTTTTTTATTTAAATTCTAGAATTCAAATAAAAAAAAAAAAAAATTTATTGAATTTAATCAGTTAGCGTTAGTTGTTAAGATATTTTCTTTTAAAAATATTGTGTACTCTCCATAATTGAAAATCACGTGATTACATTACACTGCTTGACTATGACGATAGCAATAAATTCTCTTAAAAATTTCAGATCCGTTAAAATGCTCCTTGTGTTAAAGAAAGAAATTAATTAGTAAAGTCATTAAATCAAGGCTAAGTCTTATAAAGTTCCTTTCTATAATGTACGTGCGTGTTTACTGTATTTAAAGAGATTAGGTTATAATAAGAATTTTATACGTAGACTTAAAATAATCAATTTTATTTTATTTTTTTTTTAGAAAAGATCGGTTACAATTTTTGTTAGGGAATTCTATAATTATCAGGATTAGCATTTGAAAGGAATTGATAATTTAAAAGGAAATATATACAGATTGATTTTAAAAAACATTTCATGAGATAAAAAAATAAAAATAGAGGTACGGAAATTTTTTTGAGAATTTAAAAGATCTAATAAGGACAAGGTAAATCAAACAATTGACATAATTTTATCTTCATAAATTGAAAAGTATAAGTTTTAAAAACATTTTTTTTTGAGGCTTCCATTACACAATCACCACAAAAATGTCTATCTTTACACCAACCACATTTTATCCAAAATTCGTCCCAATATTTATATTTTGTACCACATCCAGCGCATTTAAGAATACAAGGTTCGCATGAAAGATCCGAACATGAACGAAACTGGAATATTCCATCATTTGTATCATCTTTTTTACCATAATTTATTTGATTTTTAAAAGTGTTATTTGTGTTGATAAATAATGACGTATCGTGAGAGTTAATTTGATTTTCATGACACAGATTGATACTTCTCATATATCGTTTGACATTACAAAATTCTTCATGTTGTTGTTGATGATATTTTAAAAGTTGTATATCTTCTAAAACTTTTTTTATCAATAATGAATGCCTTTTACCACCAATACATCTTGTCATAACAATTTTCTTTAATTTTTGTAATTTTCGTTTTTTTGATATGAGAACACCTTTTTCATAAATTTCAGATTCTTGATACCAATTCTTCATAGCAGTTGTTATTGGTAATAATTTAACTTCTTTACATCCTAAAATGTATAAATATTGAAGATTTTCACAATTTTCTAATATAGAAATTACGTCTTCAGCTTTTATTTTTGGATCGTTAAAAGTGAATTTACGAATGAATGAAAGTTTATGAGTTGATTTAAGATGAGAAAATATTTTGACAAATTGATCATGTGAAATTGATGGAATAGACACGTGAGAGAATGTAACCTCATTCGAAAATGATAGGTAAATCATTCTGCACGTTGAACGAAGTGCTAAAATTGAAAGAAAGTCCAAGTCTTTGCTAATAATATAAAGAATATCATCGGGAAAGGATGCAAGAGTAACTGTTCCCGAATGTTTATTATTAATTATGGAGTAGCACATCTTTTATTTGGGGTAAAATTTTGACCTTTTTATATATATGTGGTTTCTTTGAAATAAATTTGAAATAAATTCGAAAAAAAAAAAAAAAAATTATTCTTAATCTAAAATTATAAAGTGTCAAATATTTTTTTTTTTAGAAAAATTTGTAAAGTGAAAATTTTGTTCGAAATATTAGAAAATGAGAAAATTGCAGAAATTAGATTGCTTATATATACTCGTTAAAAACTTGGTAAAGTTTTACATTTAATGCAAATGAAAGATGAGAGGACTGTATTTGTTCTACCATTTTTGTGTATTGTTTATCAACAGTTTAAAAATATCCAAGATATATTCATAATGTACTGTACATATGATGACAACTTGCACACATATGGGTATGAAATAACAGTTTTGTTAAAAACAATTGATTTAAGAGGCGTTTACTTACATATAATGACTGTTACTCCACTTATATATTACAGTATTATGCATTTTGTTTTGTGTGTGCACGCATAAAATTAATTATCAAAAGATGAAGATCCAATAAAGTTGCGAGATGTAGGGATTTTGACTAAGAGTTTGCATACAAACAAACCCACTAAATCGTTTGAAATACAATCTAGACAATCCGATTATGAAATTACATACTTGTATAATATGCCCGAATCAGTTTACTTGATATAAAAAAAAAAAAACTCATTGATAGACAGACGCAGATGTTGACAGCTACTTTTTTTTTATAGTTATCAAACGATAGTACTTTGAAAATAACTGCTGTATATTTGTTATTTATTATTAGAGCTTAAAAAAAAAAAAAGTTTTTGATTTAGTATTAATTAAACAAAAATAATAAAATCTATTTTAAAAAAATAAATTGATTTAAAGATATAAAATATTAAAGCAATAGATTTTTTTAATTTTTAAAGGATTTACAAAGATTATTTTAGCTAATAAAAAATACACAAAACAGATAACCAAAAAAAAAAAGGTAAGTAAAAATTTAGAAACAAAGTTAATTATCAATATTACTTGCATAAATGCTTTACTAATTATTGCATAAAGTTTAGTAAATTTCAATTTTAACTTTTTACAAATTTGATAAAAATTTATTAATATAAACATGAATTTATAAATAAATGAATACCAACCTTAAATATTTTTTACAATAAACGACCTGAATAAAATGTCAATGGGTATCGCGTACAAAGTAATTAACTTTAAAGTCTATTATAAATTCAGATTTATTCGAATAAGTGTTTAAAAAGAAAACGTGCAAATGAAACTTTGCCATGTTCAAATAAATTGTACACATGCGCTTAATTAGGAAACAGAATACTATATTTAACATTACATTTGTTCGGAGATTTTGACATAACGACAAAATTCGACATAACTTAAATAACGATAAGTTATTCCTAAACTGAAAAAACGCCTCATTGTACGTATTCTCAATGAAAAAATATGGAAGTAGATGCTGGGATTTATAAGGTAATATTTACAATAAAATATAAAACCACATTAACTTTAATAACCATAATCACAAAAAAGGATCGGTAAAAAGTTTTTAAACATTTAGATTTTTTTTTAAGTTTTGCGATACGACATCTTGCACCATTCTGCAGTTCGGTCATTGAACATGCAAACTAAGTATAGTTCACAATGTTAAAATTATCCTTGAAATTTTTATTACGTCACAGTACGTTAAAAAAAAAAGAAAAACTTTTAGTGCATTTGTTCAAACCGTTTTTTTGCAGATCTTTTTATTTTGTGCATTCGATAAACTTCGTTCTACTCAAATCAAATAGGACATTAAAATTATTGGTTTATTTAATTTTAATAATACTTTTTAATGAAGTTTAAACCTATAAAAAAATTCAATAAAAAAAAAAAAAAAAATTTAAAAAAGAATTAATTAAAAATAAAAATAAAAAACAAAACTTTAAATTAAAAAACAAATACATAGAATTAAAATGTAATTTGAGGATAAACAATACAGATAGAACCATTTAGATAAATTCATTGTCAAAATAAACAATAGTTTTAAGAATTTAAACAAGATTTAATGCGGAAACTATAAAATTTTCCTTAAAAAATTGATATAGCAAAATAAATTTATTGAAATCGATGAACAGTATTTTCGCGTTGTTACACATACTTTATTGGCGTGCCTAGTTCAAAAAATCGATTAAATAATAACCTAAAATTAATTTAAAATATACAGTGGTTGCAGAAAATATTGCCAATTTGGATATCGTATTATTCGCAACTACAGTACGTAGTAAAAATTTTTATAAAAATATAATATTCAAATATATATAGTACATCGCAATGCGATGTTGAGTGTTCTATACATCATGTAAATGTATAGTCCTATATTTATAAGATACTGATTTTTTTCTTATTAGTGAACCATTAAGGGGAATTTACAAATAAGGGTCTAAAAATGTAAAATAATTACATATAGGGGGCCTTATTTTAATAATTTTTAACAGTTTTTATTATATCTCATGATACCGTAAATGAAATTTAACGATTTTGATACCATTCGAATCTTCTCATTGAGACGCACCAAAATCGCCAAATTTTAATTACTGGATTACGAGTTATTTAACATTTTCTAAATTCTTTTTAAATCATAATATCTCGTTATCCTGTCATTAAAATTTAGCGATTTTAGTACCATTCGATCCGTCTCTATAAGACAATTCGAATGGTATTAAAATCATTAAATTTCATTTATTTTATCGTGATATATAGTAAAATTTGCTAAAATAGGGCCCTTATTTGTAAATTCTCCTAAAAAATAATCTACCATGAACCAGATCTATTTTCTTATATTAGAAACAAAGAAAAAAAAATTATAGGCAGCAAAGTCTAAAACCAATTCACCGTATACCACCTCCATATACCACCTCCATATACCACCTCCATATACCACCTCCACATATCACCTTTTAGAATATATTGAAGATTTAAAGTAAGCTATTAATTTAATTAATTTTTCAATCGGGATTAATTAAGTAGACAAATATACATCCGATCAAATATAAGTTTTCAAAATCTATTTATCTTATCGCTATCTCTATCTACGTACGTACATAAAATTATTTTGCTTTAAATTTATTCCAGAAATTTGAGTTAAACCATCCTTCCAAGTTCGGATTTATGTCACATTATATCACATTATAATGTAGGCCAAAATTAGCATAAATTAAAAATTTACAACGCAGGCAACGAAGTAATAAAAGCCGTTTTTTCCCTATCATCAGCCTTTACTTGAATTTGCCAGTATCCACTGGCCAAATCGAGGGTAGAAAACCATTGCACATTAGCTTTCTTGGTCACAGTGTAAGTTTTCTATAATCAACACATAGCCTCAATTTACTGTTCTTTTTGGGGACTATCACTACAGGTGAAGTCCAAGGACTTTTTGACTAACTCAATCCACTTCTTAGTAATTCTTGCTCACTTGGGAGATTCTATAAGCAGTTTGTCCAACCTATATTCGGAAAATTTTATTAATTATAAATATTCATTGTCAACATTTAGGTTGACTAAATAAATTATAATTGTTATCATACCTGAGCTTCTTATAATTTATTCAATTTGTAACGACGAACCAAGAAGCTAGTTGATAATTTTTCATCATATACATATATTTTCTACAATATAATTCAAATTAATAATAAAAAAAAAACAATAAATACAGTATTTAATCAATAAGTTGTCAAACGAATATTGTCAAAGATTTTCTGATTTCAACTGTGATATTCATAGATTTTTAAATGCATACCGTATTTTATATAATTAATTAAAAAAATATACTCCTTTTTTTTCTGTGCTTGAGGTTTGGAAAGGTGAACCAATTATATATTTATTTAATTTAAACATCGTTAGATGCAGAGAGTAATACGTCCAACACGTTTTAATTAATTCGTTATTTTTTGCTCTCTTTCAATTCTAAACTATTTTCTTTGCAAAATAAAACAAAAAAATTTCCAAACTAGAATATCGATAGCTAAAATATTTGCCATACGGTAAAAAAAAAATAGCAGCATATCGTAATTGGTTTTTGATAATATGTCAGTAGGTAACTCAAACAATTGACGAATAAAGAACTACCTTTGTCAAAAAATTCCATATCCATATCATTACAGACACACTAAATATAAAAGTCAACATGTAGTTTTTATTGTCGTGCAGGGTAAATTCACCATTAATATAAAGAACTGTGGTTTTTTTTTTGTTGTTATAGTTGGGGAAGATGCCAAGGTAGTAACAGTTAATTTCAATGACAGTTGGCCTTAATCCATGCGTTCTTTCAATGTAACAACCATAAGAACATCATTTTAATCATCGGAGGTTTTAAACTATGATAGTTATATTTATTAGGATAGGAAACTTTGGAAAGTCATTACTAAATTACACGAGATCATTCGTGAATCTACATTATTTTGTCACAATAATAAAAATAATAAATGTTTAATTAGTTCTAAAATAATGCCTACGATATTTCGAGTAACTTAATTTAAGGAGAGTTAAATAATTTTAACATAGAAAAATTTTTTAAAAAGTAATATCTTAATAAATATAAGAGATTAAGTCAAAATTATTAACTCTTATCAAATCAAAGTTATTCAAATTATGCTCTGAGGTGTTATCTTAGAGTAATATTATTTGAAATTAATTTTTTTTCTAAACTTACTTTCAGAGCAGGCAGCTTTTTCTTTTCTCATTTTGTTTTTTTCAATTATACATACATAAAATTTTCCAGTTATAAGAATTAAATCTTCTTTTTCGTAGGGAGGCTTTAATCTTGTTTTTCATTTTTGAATTAAAAAACCAAGAAATGACTTGTTCTTTTGTTGAAAAGAATTTTGAGGATAAAGTAGTTCCCACACATATTCCAGTTGGGTCAAAAACATTTCTAGGCAATTATAAAAATTTTTGGTGATAAAAGCTTTTTAAAAAGACTTTTTGAAATAAATTTAAACTTTGAGAATTCATAATTCCTGAAGCATCGACAATATGAAAAACTTTTAAAGGCATTCGATTTATAGTCTGTGATATAGCATAAAACCTTAATAGTACCAGGCATTTAATATCTTGATATATATATATATTTTTTTTATTAAAAAAAAAAAAAAAAAAAAAAAAAGCATTGTTTATTTCTAAAAGAGCAAAAAAGAACTAGTGATCAAGAAATAACTAACAGTAACTCTGTTATATTAGTGATGGGCGCGCGTGATTATTATCATGATTATCAAAAATTCAAAATTATTTGTTGATAAAAATATACTTATATAGATTTTGCCTATTAAAAGTAGATTTTTTTATAATTATTAATAAAAATAACTATTCAGAATAATATTTAACTCTCACTAAAGATGGGTGACGAAACTTATTTTCTTGAACCAAAACGTCTCAGATTTCAGCTAGAGCTATCAAAACCCTAAGTGATCCCAAAATTCTAAACTAACATGACTTTACCGAAACCTAAACTATTGCCTAAATCCCAAACTAATTCCTAATTCCTAAATCCTAAACTAATGTTTAAATTCTAAATCAATGCCAAAATATTAAACATTTTTCAAAATATTATTCTTTTGAGATATTATTAATTAAATAAAAAAGCCGTTGATTTTTAAAAGACATGATATTATAAACAACATAATTTTTTTTTATTCCCTCCTTCTATAGTAGTACCTTCAAAAAATAGTTAAACCTAATAATAATTTATTAAAAAATACATATAAATTAATCATAAATTTAATAAAAATTTATATTACTATTACTTAATTATGATTTTTTTTTTTCAATACTTTATTATATTTATTATATATTATAAAAATTTTTAGACAGTTATTATTATAACTTAAGAGATTTTTATACCACCTTGAAGCTTTAAAACTATTATACCGTGAGTTAGAACTATTAAGTAATTGCTAGAGTTTTTTTTTTAAAAAAAAAAAAAAACAATAATTTAATAAATAAATAAAAATTGCTATAAAAACTAAAGTGTTAAAAATAAATAATAAACCTCTGTAAAATTTCCTTTATTCGGTTGTTTCTTATCCCAAAGGTCTCTAACTGTAATTTCACCTTTAAGGCCAAGATGTGGTATAAAGTTTAATATAATCTTTGTTTTAGTTTCTCCACGATTGAATAAAACTATTATAATAAAGCAAAATTAAGACTCGAAAATAATAATAATAATTAATTGAAGAAAAACGCAAATTTTTTTACAACACATACGTGCAACAAAACTATCAATCAGTGGTCCAGTCCAAATCTCATAAGAAACATCGTATTCGACAATATCTACAGATCGTCTAAGGGGATCTTGCTATTTATAAGTAGCGATAATTTGTAAGGGATTAAAAAAAAAAAACATTAAAAATTAAAAAAAAAAAAAACTTACATTTATAGCTATTATTTCTGTATTTAATACCACAGTCATTGAATCTTTTGGGGATTTCTAATCTGTTAAAATATAAAGTTAAAATCAAATTTAATTTATAAATAAAGTCATGAAATAAAAACAAAACTTATATCAAATCCAAATAATAAAGGAGCCTTCAAAGCGGCCCAAAGAAATGACTTTTTTGTTCATTAAAGTAAGATCGTCATTACCTATTTCAAGCATATCAGGATCATTCCAGCCTTCTGGCCCTGCATATTTTGTAATATTTCGTTGCTGGTCTAAAATTGATAAAATTGATGACCATTCTGCCTGAATGTCAAGAGTCGTTCTCCAGCTATAATTAAATATTTT